TGGGCCCCTCACTACAAGAAGGACATTGAGGGGCTGGAGTGTGTCCAGAGAAGGGCAACCAGGCTGGTGAGGGGTCTAGAGAACAAGTCTTATGAGGAGCAGCTGAAGGAACTGAGGCTGTTTAGTCTGGAGAAGAGGAGGCTGAGTGGGGACCTTATTGCTCTCTACAGCTACCTGAGAGGGGGTTGTAGTGAGGCTGGTGATGGTCTCTTCTCCCAAGTAACTAGCAATAGGATGAGAGGCAATGGCCTCAAGCTGCGTCAGGAGAGGTTTAGATTGGATAATAGGAAATATTTCTTTACTGAGAGGGTGGTCAGGCACTGGAACAGGCTGCCCAGGGAGGTGGTGGGGTCCCCATCCCTGGAGGTGTTCAAAAAATGTGTGGATGTGGCACTTCGGGATATGGTTTGACAGGCATGGTGGTGTTGGGCGGATGGTTGGACTTGATGATCTTAGAGGTCCTTTCCGACCTGTGGTTCTGTGATTCTATGATTCTGTTGAGACAAAGACATACTCTGAACAAGTAGTAGAACATTATTGTCAGATTCCACATATCGACACCTGTGGTAGAAGGAAGTACTTTTCAGGTGGACCGTGATCCAAATGAAATGGCTTGGTTGCTTTCTGTAAAGCAAGTTGCAGAACGATTCTGAAAGGAGCAGACAGCTATTGCTGCATTGTTCCCTGGACTAGTTTGAAGGGTATTCCCCTTCTGAAAAGCATCCCAGGGGGCTCCTTCACAGGCAAGTGTGAATAGTTTTAAAAGGAATGAATTCTGTTTAATTAAAGCTAAGCGTTTTGACAGTGGCCTGTGTGTATAGGACAATTCTCTTTTTTCCACATTTTCTCCAACACCTCTTCCAACACTTGGCTTAAAGCACCGTGTGTAATGGTCCTGGCTAATGAGGTATATTTTGCAGTTTAGGCTATGAATGTGTACAGTGAGTTACCAGAGCAAAACTGATGAACAACCACTTGCTAAGCCAAGTGCGGTTGCTTGTCATCATTTATGTGCATATGCTAAAGTGATTCTCCTCCTCCCATCCCCTCCCAAGACATCTTTATCAATATATCTCATTCCTCCTTTATGAAGCTTCCACTATAATGTTCTGAGCCTTGGGCTCTGATAAATGTGTGGCTGTCATATTCAATTATGACATACACTATGTGTCCTGTTAATGGTGACTTTCTCCCTCCACGGGGGTTATCATATGTCATGTAACTTGTTTACTTGAAGCTTATTAGGTCATGAGAAGCAGCAAACTGCTCTCTAGTGAGCAGCACTGCATAAATCCTGTTTTCTGTGATAAATATTTTATATACAAACGTTTCATACAGGCTCAGGACTTGTAAAAATTGATTTCCACTGGTAACTCAGATCACTACTTCAGGCTGCAAATAAAGGAAAAGCCTGACTTCTGTACAGTGCTTAGCATGAAAGCCCTGAATCCAACTTGGAACACTGATGCACAATCACACAAAGATGAAGTAAGATCCATAATATGATGCAAAAAGTTCAGATTGCTGAAAACTCCCTGGTAGATATCTCATGAATTGCCATTTGTAAATCCTAGCCTTCCTTTTAGACCACATTAATTGTTGTCTTTTTTCCTTGCATGTCTTAGCTCTATCCAGTCATAACTATCATGCTTTTTCTAAAAATCCTTAATTTTTGGCACTTCCAGAGGGTGGTCTTTGAGTTCCTTGTCTTTAGCTCTCAGTTGTTCAGCACCATATGCTCGACTAATTCCTAAAAAGCTATAAAATTAGAGAAATAATCCATCTGGTACTGAAACAGACAACTTGGGACTGTTTCTTTTGTTACTATCAATGTGCTGCAGCCACAAGAAGAGGCACCTGCACGAAGTAATGATCTTAAGAGTGACTGTGATAAATCAGGCATCAGTTTATTGTATTAACCCATTTTTCTCCCGTAGAGACTATGCAGACTATGCTGAATAATAAAATATCAATTTATGTCTGTTAACACTTTGTTAGAAACTTGTAAGAATATGGCTTTAGTATCAGCTGATTTAGGATCTTGAAATTGATGTAATCTGCAGTAAAATAAATTATTTCTTCACTTATAGATATGGCTTTTAAATTCTGACACATTGCTGGTGGAGTCTTTAGGAAGTTCCTCTTCCCACAGTGGTTTTACACTGTTCGGAGATATTTTCATGCCTAGCTGTGGACCAGTGGGGACCTGGAATGCTGTCAAAGTCCTTTACCAGCCATGCATTAAAAGCAGGAATAAGGAGTAAGTACATCCTTTCCTGACCTTCGTGTTCTGGTCTTTGATTTGTTTTGCATTTCAGGGAAGTGATATTTCTTTGAGGTTCTTTGGACAGTCCATTAATCTCAGAGAGGTACCTCTTTGAAATTGCATACGATTTTTTTTTTTTTTAAGCAAAATGGAGAGGAATAGTATTTGGTTTCTGTTGCAGCCAGAGAGAATCTGAATCTGACTGTTAAATTTTTGCACCATAATATTGAAATGTAGACCAAAGACTTATGTTGTTTCTAGGGGCACGTGTAGATAACTTAGGTATACAATATAATTAGAAGTTGTCTCTGTAATGCAGGAGACTAATGTGCTTTTTCATGTATGCATTTTGTCCCCACGTTAACTCACTGCACTTTTAGAGCTTTGTCATTTTTCCGGCTCTGCTGGCAGAAGCTGGAAGGATGGTGGTGCTACGAATCCCACAGAGGGTCAGTGAGTTCTGTCTGTACGGTCTCAGAACGTGCTGGTCTGGAGCTGTACCTCCAGGTGATGTAATTCAGGGAGGAGGAAAAATTGAGGGGAGATAAGGAGCACAGGCTGACTCCTGAATGGTGCATGAGTTTAGCCAGATCTCTCTCTTCGCCTTCAGTTTCTTTGTTTTGTGTGAAAATCTGACCCTGTCTGTCAAGTGATTTGTGGGAGTAACCCTCTCTGCACTCCCACAGTAAAGAATTTGGACCTCTTTGGTACAGCTGAAACCAAGAAGGTAGAGGTGGATAGTTATTAGTTTACCAAATTATACCTGCCTGTTCCAGCTTCAGTCTTGACCTTTTTTGCCTTAAAATTACGATTTGTTTTGCAACAGAAAGAGCTGTTCACAGGGCTGGAATTTGTCTGTTTGAGCCAGGTTGCCTTCAGTACTACAGGTGTTGTCTGGTGGGTCACAATAAATTAGCTTAATGATCATCTCTGTATACACGGACAATGCATCTAACAGTGTCCCTGTTAAATGTACTTGTGCATGTAGCCTAGCAGAATAATATGAATAATGCTATCAGTACAGCCTACAGCATGTCCTCAGAAGGACAGTCCTTTCTAGATACGATTCAGAAGTTCATTGATTTATCTAGTTAGCCCCTCTGTGTTTAACTTGCTTTCAGCCCAGTGGTGGCATTACTTCAAAAAGAAACGGTGCTCTGGGAGAAGGGGAAGGAGAAGAGGCGAGGAAGATGGTTGAGTACAAAGCCATATAGATGTTTTTCTTGGATGTGTCCAAGTCAGCTGGAGCCCTCATAAAGGCAACATTTGATTTCAGCAAGCTTTGAAGTCTACATTATGGAAAACGTACACTGCATAACATAAGATAAGAGATAACATAAGAGAATGTTGATTAAGCAGTGGCTCCAGTGTTTGCAGGTGATGGCATATGATTTTAGCATAATTTTCTGCTTTTGTTTCTGCAGTGATAGAAGAGAACGCATTGGTTTTTTATAGGTAACTTGGTTTTGTTATTTTTTCTTTAAACTCTTGGAAACTAGGTGATAGATTTAAAGAGGTACAGATGTATTTAAAATTTAGAAGACATTCCCTCCAAACTCAATCAGTACACAACTAATTTATAGCCAAAGACCTCATAAAAGTGCAACAAAAATGTTCTCTCACACAGACAAGCAAACATGTGCATACCAGTTTAAATATTTTCATAGGAGTAATATACACCTTACAAGAACGTGTGTTTCATCATAGTGGTTATCCTGAATGTTGCCAAATATATCCTTTTTATTTTTCAAACAGATCGAGTATTGAATAGCTGAAATAAACTCTGCCATAGGGAGAAAATACAAAATTGCACTATTTAGAGAGAAGATCATACTACGTTATTAATGTTATTCATGTAAGAGAAAAAGTTACCTCTATTAATGTAGTAGCTTCAGAAGTTGGCATTGGAAAACCTCTGCAATCTAAATGTTATTTAGTGATCCAAAATATGTCTTAAAGTATTATCATTTAAACTGCTTATTCTTAGCCTGGGAGATATTACAAGAACCACTGCCTGCTCTGAAGTGAAAGATACTTCATTTACCACTCTGAAGTCGTACAGAAATGTAACTTAGAGTTTTGCTTTTCAAGTTTCAATTCCTTATCACTGAGAAGATTTAATTACCTTAACACACATTCAGTTACTTTGACACGTTATTGAGATTAAAGTCGTGTCTACTTAGTTCACGGAGGAGAAAGAATAGAGGGTTCTTTTTAAGGTTCAGAAACCAAAGTAACTGTTGCTTTAGTATTGTTTTCCCATTTTTATATTCCTGGTAAAGAACAGTAGAAAGGGCATTAGCACTTCAATCTGTTTCCACTAACTGATTTGTCAGTTGGCTTGAAGTACTGCCTGGATCTGTGCAGTAAGACTGAAGTCTTTCTGTATTGAACAGGAATATAAGCACAGCGGAAGCAAAAATATCAAAACCAGTACAACTTATTTAATGCAATGTGTTTGCACTTAAATCTCAAATATTATTTCAAGAATTCTGAACAAAGTGTCTGATTTCTTGAACAGTGCAAGTTCCAAATGTTTTAGATACTTACATTCTCATAATAATTATAATACTTACCTTGCTTGGTTCTGCACACACACCTACCTTTGAAATAATGCAAAGGTTTCCAGAGCCTGTGGTCTGCTCCCTGTGAGTAGGGAGTAAGCAAGGATACCTCCTGTGTAGGAAGCAGTCAGCAGGAGGTCTGCTTATGACTTAGACCCCAACAGCTGCAAGGGATGAGCGTGCACTCTAATGCCCTGTTGCATGTCAGAGAGCCTCTTCAGTTGTGGCGACTCACTGGGTACACTTGGGTCCTGTCCGATCCCTGTAGTGCCAGAATCTGATCTGTGCAATGGGAGGGGAGCACCTTTCTTACCTGTGGACACTGCAGAGTCCGTGCTGTGCCGTAGGCTAAGACAGATTAAGGTAAACTAGAAACAAAAGCATTTATTTGTAATATCTAAATATAATAACATAATAAGGCATTGTAAAACATGGGTGAAGAAATGAAAGAAAATCTGTACTTAGTCTACTTACACAAGCATAGATCTACTTACTCGGAGATAAATACATGGTTCCATGCTAGCAGTCAAGGTCTCAGGCTTTGTGAAATTCTCCCCTGCCAAGCTGCCTCTGCTAGAGAGACCCTAAGTGGGATGGCCTAATAATTTACCTACAGGAACCCCCTTTGTGAAGTAACCCTTAAGTTCAGGTTCCTTGGGATGCACTTGAATATTTCTCTTGGCAGGAACATAGTAGCTTTTACACAAGGTATTTCTTTTCAAGAATTCTAGGAAGTCAGGAGAAATCTATGGTCTCACTCAAAAACTTGTTTTATTCCTTCTTTATTCAGAGCACAGTTTTGCAATTCTTTATAATTAACATAATGCTTATTTCTCTTCCTCAGATATGGAAGTGTTGTTTTTCCCCCTTAAACTAGGAATTATGTCCTGTGAACAGCACTGTTCTTCCTCTCTTTCTTTCCTCCAGTAAATCACTGGCATATCTGTCACTATACCTTACATTCAGTATTGCTCTAAATGTTAACAATGCAAAGGAAACAAACGTCTGAGTAGGATAAATGTTCATGGTTCATTACTGACTGCTGAGTGATACCAGCCGCAATGATAATTAATCCATTTGGAGCAATGGCTGTTTGGGGGTGGCTGATCCCAAAGCCTGCTGCAACAAAACTGTGTTCTGAGTTAGGCTGAACAGTGCTGAGAAGGCGATATTCTTTGTGTGGCGTCTGCCTTTTTATCGACAGCGTGCTGATTCATGTTCATTTTGTGGATCTGTGTTGACCATCAGATCCTTTCCAGTAAACTGCAGTCTAATAAGCAGCCTTCCTCTCTGTTTTTTGTGCGGTTGTCCTTTGTCAAATTGCATCCTAATTTTGTTCGGAACCTTTTTCCCTGTTGGCTGTGGCCATTTTGATTTCAAACATGTGGCATACTGATGGCCCTTCCCAGCTTCATGTCATCTGTGAATGAAAGAAGCATCTCTCTTGTTCCAGTCTCCAGGAGAGCAATTGAGATATGGAATAGGACCAAACTAAGAACAGGTCATGTGGAGCCTCTCTCCATATACCTTTGTTTTGGCAATGAATTATTAGCAATTGTGCTCTGGGTAGTCTCTGTATGTTAGACTGCGTTGCTTAAGAATGTTCAGTAGCTTTTAAGTGAAGTTAAGACACAGTTAGGTACATTCAGACATGCTATTTATAGTGTAGCTCCTGGCGTTTCTCCTTGCAGAGCCTTATTCCTCTTCTCTTCCTGAGGGCAGCGTTTAAGCATTGTATTGATTTGTTGTCTTGGTTTGATTTTATTGATGGCATACATCAATAAAACAGACCCGCTCTCTCGGACCGCACCGGCGCCGCATGCTCCCCAGCCGCAAGAGAGCATTCCCGCCGCAGTCACATGGTATGGAATACCCCGCGTGATGTCACATGGTATGGAATACCGGGCTCTGTTTGGCCAGGTGGGGTCAGCCCCCACCCCCCGGCTGTGCCCCTTCCTGGAGTCCGGTGAAAATTAACCCTGTCCTGGCCAAACCCAGGATATTTGTATCTTAGTCCTTCAGCTGTTAAATAGGTCTAGAAACACTTGGGTGTGTCTTATGAGTGATAGCATGAATTCTGGGTAGGTCTGTCTACAGGTAGGCTTCTAACCCTTGCGGGAGATTTATGAGCAATCCTTCTACAACAAATTAGTTGAAATTATGTGCTGTCATTTCTTCCTGTGACCTATGAAAAAAGTACGCTAGGAGTGTTTTTGAATCACATTAGAGAAGGATGCCTCATGAATTTTCTGCTCCATTCTCACTTAGATCTTTATGGATGATGTGTATGTGAATAGGTTGGTTCCCTCCACTTTTCTCTCAGCAAAGCTCCTTTTCTCCACCTACAAATCTGCTGTACAGACAGAAGAGGTCTTCCTTTCAAGTAATAGGTTCTTGGCAAATAACACCTTATGCAAACAACATCAACCGCTGG